AACGCACACATCTAAAATCAATACATACAGACACTTTGAGTGGCAGATTGTAATAAAACACATACAGTCCTGTAATATGGCCTGTGCCTGGACGTCCTGTACACTTCTGGTCATCGTCTTCTTCGCTGGTGTCTCATTCTCGCCAGCAGAAATGGGTCGAGTTTGCGCCGCTGCAAACCATAAAAATAGAATAAGACACGGGAGAATATGCCACACAAGCGCATGTCAGCAATCAACGTGCCTGGCATGAGAACGTCAGCATGAACTATCCTCAACGACACTAATGACTACAGTTGAGTATGAAATCATTGTAGGCAGGGCAACTCAACAGCGGGTGAGTATTCCGCTGACCTTAGTTTGACTGCAAGACATCAGAAACTCGGTCGAAACAAGTAGGACAATGTGACAACGTAACGAACCCGGCTCACTACATAAAAAACCCTGGCTTACTACATAAAAAACCTGGCTCACTACATAAAAACCCCGGCTTACTACATAAAAAGCCCTGGCTCAATACAAATAAAAAAACCTGGCTTACTACATAAAAAACCTGGCTCACGACATAAAAAACCCTGGTATACTACATAAAAAAACCTGGCTCACTACATAGAAAAACCTGGCTCACTACGTAAAAAAACCTGGCTTACTACATTAAAAAACCCTGGCTTACTACATAAGAAAAAACCTGGCTGACTACATATAAAAATCCCCCGCAAAATAACAAATTGGAAATAAGACAAAACTAATATGACAAATGGGACAATCAGACTGACCTAGTATGACAAATGGGACAATCAGACTGACCTAGTATGACAAGCGCGTAGGGCAGGGGCATGACAGTACGGACTGCGGCATCAACATATCAACAACCCACCCGACAGACGCACATAGACGAGTGGGGAATGCAACAGGACAGGTAGGTGTAAACAAATGATATACAGGCGCGTATAAGAAACGTTTAGGAGAGTGTTGGGATGTCCCATATAAGGAGCCCAATGAGAAGCTCAATGGTGTGTGAGAGTTAAAAAACCATAGCAACAGTGTGTTGCAGGAGGCTAAGAAAACGTGTGCAACATTGAGTGGCGTCAACTGTATACATGATCGTGACATGTGCATTCAACCAAAGATGTGGAGGAAGGGGCTATGGGAGTGAAAACCCTGAACCCCGAAACCCTAAAACCCTAAACTCTACGGATAGTAAGCTGGTGGCGTTAGAAGTGTGATTGTTCCTCTCACGTCCAGGGTCGACATGTAATGCAATAGTACAATCTTAAAGTTATAGGGTAATGCAATAGTACAGTTTTAAAGTGATAGAGTAATGCAATAGTACAGTTTTAAAGTGATAGAGTAATGCAATAGTACAGTTTTAAAGTGATAGAGTAATGCAATAGTACAGTTTTAAAGTGATAGAGTAATGCAATAGTACAGTTTTAAAGTTATAGTGTAATGCAATAGTACAATACCTGATTGAGATGAGGAATATGACGTGCACATACGCTCCGTAGGAAAGTGGAAATAAAAGCCATATGAAGAGTGTGAATGTGTGACCGTACTTCGTTGGCATGAATTCACAGACTGATCAATATGCAAATGGACAAAACTCACAATCGACATGTAGTGGGATTTAGATTATATATATATATATATATATATATATATATAAAGTACCATATGTGTATCTTCTGCTGTGCACATGTGTGTGCATGTGTGTATCTCTTCCTGTGTGCCCGTGTGCGCATGCGTGTACCTGAGGTGTTTGCTCGTGTAGCTTTGGGTGGTGGTTGTGCTGTGCGTGATGCGGGTGGTCCGTTGGTAGCCCCCTGAGCTTTAGCGGCGGCTGGAGTGTTTGCGGACTCTTGTTTGGCCGCATGTTTGGCTGCCTAAAAAAGAAGATAGGCCGTGAAAAGCATGATGAACGATGCAGAATAACAGACACACCTGTTTACCACAATAAGAAGGCCATTGGAGAGTTAGCGATCTAATCTATATTTTATTTGGAT